CCTCCCCCCCCCCCCCCCCCCCGCGACCAAAAAGACTCGGCATTTTGCTTGCTCCCACCCCAATTTTTTCCGTGACCCTTGCACTGACACGCTGAGCGTGCTAGATTCGCTGCCTTAAAGCATCAAGAGGAGCTATGCTTCCATTCTATGACTCAATTGATCTGCGAACGATCTTCACAAGCCCGCACTCACGTGCGCACCTGCCCGGAGGAGTTCTTGGGTGTTTTCCTCACAGCCCACACGGCCTCCGCCGCGACACCCTGATGCACCCGGGTGTTTTCCTCACAGCCCACACGGCCTCCGCCGCGACACCCTGATGCACAAGTGAGGAGGGCAAAGGGAACGCCCGCTGGGCAGGCACGATGACCACGGCCCGAGCATTTGCCCAATTATGACATTAGTGACCAGAGAGTTGCCAGTAGCCCGAGAGACGGAACCATAGAATGGTAATGATCGTAAAGCCCGCCACCAAGGACCAGAACATGACATAACCGTAGCGCCAATGGAGTTCCGGCATCTGCCGTAACAAGAGTTAAATGAGCGAGAACGAGTGCAAAGTCAGGAAGGGCCCGGCAGCCCCTAAAACGCACCTCCTCAAAGTTCATGCCCCAAAGGCCCGTCAGGAACTGGGCTGGGATGAAGATGGTCGTAACCAACGTCAGCAAGAGCAGCACATTGTTCGTCTGCTCGTCTTGCACGCTCTAACCCCCAAAAATAGGTAACCCATGCAGTTTGACACAGTGCGTGCAATAAGTGAATGGGTGGACGGATGGTAATGCGTTGGATTCCAGCAGACTGGCACGTTTGGACCCACGCGATAGAGCTGGAAGAGGTTTTGTGTCGTATCGTTCCAAGTCTTGGCTTCATCCAAAATGGTATTGAGCTGATCTCGCAAATCTTGAAAGTAAACAAGCTGTCAAAATCAAGCCGGGCGATCAAGGTGAATCTGACCTGAGACAAGGAAGTACTTGCCCCTTGCGTCACAAGCCTGTCGCGTACCTCATTTTGAAAGAAGAAGGAGAAGGGCTCCACTTTGGCGTCCCAACGCAGCGTGTGAAGACGATTGGCTAGGGCTGACATCTCTCGCATGTACAGGCTCGAGACCTTGGCATACTCAAAAAGGTGTGCACGGTGCTCCGGGCGCGGTGTTTGCGAAATGCCGTCGTCAATCATTTCCAGCCATTGCTGATGGAGCAATCAACGACAGCATGAATGAGACTTGTGAGCACAGATGATCCACAGCTCACCAGTAGCCTCGAACAATCGCACGATACCTTCAAGACATCGCGCATGTCGTAATTGAGCTCGGACACAGCCTCGAGGAAGAGGTACGCGAGATATTTGACATTGCCCAGAATGACGTCTGGAAAGCGTCGAATAATTTGATCCTCAAGCTCGCGCACCACGTTATACACGGGGCTATCCAGCACATCAGGATCCCTGATAGAAAGCGTCGGGTCAGTTTGCCAGCATCGAATTCATCAACAAGAAGATGCGCACAAGGCAAGGGGACAATCGCCTCGGGTCATAAACATGAGGGCCACAACCGCATGGTACCTGAGAATGACAATCATCAAGGACTCATCCACCACCACAATGCTAACAGGAAACGATTGGAGACTGGGTGGTTGCTCATCCAAATGCCGCTTGCTGACGAGACGCGGGTCTGTTGATGCGCGCAGCCTACCAAACCCCAGAACCAAGCAAAAACACATCAAACCAGCGGGACCGAACGATTGTGACAACCTTGACATTGGGGCCCAGCTTCACGTACACATTGGCCAACCCATAGCTCTAGCGCACGCAATTTTCGCGATGAGTATGGCACACAGGCTTGTCGCCAACCAATTGCAAACGACTTGAACAAGACCTTACCGCGTCCGATTCTTCCATCTGTGATTGGTCCGTCTATAGCCAGGGCCCCGGTCAAAGCATGACAACCAGAAAGGTTAGCCATCTTCGGTGAGCGGGCAGGTATGAAGAGCATCACTGTTTAGCAAGATGAGATCAAGAGTGCGCGAGCGAACCCACCGGGACGTAGATGGGTGAATTGTTCATGGCGTAGACGCTTGCTAAAATGTGCGCAAAGGGCTTTTCTGGGGGCCCAACAATCTCAATCTTATCACGCTGAATGGTCACGACGTCCTGAAGAATTTCCTCATGAATGTCCAAGGCAACGGAGAGCATGTCCGCAACATTGGGATCGTACCCCTTAACGGTGACCCAAGAGCGGATCGGCCTAGTATGATGCAAAACGCGGAATGAGTCTTGAAGCAGAGTCCTGAAACATGAGCAGAAGCGTTGGCACGAAGACGATATTGCAGCCAGCTCAAAAGCGAACCCAAGTTTTTGCAGCCGATGTCGATTATCAAGCCAGTCTTTGAACTGAGCCAGGTCAAATTCGACGTGCTGATTGAGCTGCAGTTCATAGGACAGGAAGAACGTGAGAGTGCGGTAATGAGTCGCGCACGACGGCCGTCAACGAACATGTCGCAGAGCAGGTGTGGCCCACCTCGGCGTGATTGGACGAGGCACAATAGCTGACAACCTTCACGCGAACAGGATCACGCCGAGAGAAGCCCTGCAGCTTGCGCGTGATGTCATCCATACGCAGACGCTTAAAGAATTGCACAAACTCGTCCTCCTCAATGGTGCCGGCGTTGTCTCGATCAATCTACACGTAGAGTCAAGATGAGACTGACTCAAAGAATGGAAAAAATCCTTTGTTAGACGCCCATGGCGCTTAAGTTTGAAAGATGTGACAACACGCACCGCTTTTAACAGCCGGCCAACGGCGTATGGGTCCTTGGCCTGTGATCAAAACAAAAAACCATGGGTATTGAGACTTGACGCTCGACACAGTCCAGGTAAATGCAGATGGACGTTGGATGAACATGCAAGGTGGGCAAGCGGCACACCTCCATGCCCAGGGCGAGCAGACCAGACTGGAATTCCGCATGCGACAATCGGCCATCATTGTCTCGGTCAAAGAGACCTGTCAAGTGTAACGCGCCCAACCCAAAAAGAAAAGAAGGAGCGATGCGTGAGACCGGTTCTGTCCCTTCCCTCTTCACAATATTGCTGCCCCGCCCTTTGCCGCCCTTTGATATGGGTTGATTGTCTCTCATGCAATGCAGCCCCCCCCAAAAAAAACGAAGCTGCATGGGAACGAGTTGAAGGGGTCATGCTTACGAAAAAGACCTAGAGCGAAAGGTGGATTCAAAGCAACAGAAAATACCACCAGATGTGAGGACGATGCAAGACCCAAATCCAGAGGCTCAGCCGGCTGCCCTGAAGGATGCAGACTGGCCAAACACTACGGGCCCATTGCTGAGGGAAGCAGTCGATGCTGAGCGACAGCACGTACGATGCAGGTTGTGTTTGCCAAAGTCAGGTTCATTGCCGGCAGCCTTTAGCAGACGATCGCGGCGAGAGATGGGAATGCTTGGGTCCACAAGCGCCGTATCTGTGAGGTCAACCAGATCGCGATCCAGCTCTGTCCAGAAGAATGGAACAATGCCACAAAACAGAAACACAAAGACATATGAGGTTGCTCGAAAAGCCTACACAGAGGCGTGGTCTTTGAGGTTGGCAGCACAGACCTCCTCGTGAGAGACGCCGACGCAACTGCGGAAGCTTGGTGCCGTCCTGATGTGTGACGTAAGAGACATGAGTTGCCAAAGCTCATATGAGCTTCGCCGGGACGCTGATTTTGTGCGCTAAAGTCGTGAGTCAAGGCATCGGACGAGGTGACAAACCGAGTCCTGGTGCATGCTAGAAATATTGCTCGAACGATCCATGTCTCGGCTACGGGGTGGGCGGCTACCTGAAGGAAAAGAGTGCGGGTGGGCTGTGAGTTTGATATGACAGGGTGAATCGATGCTTTAGACAGCAGTTTTGACGCACTGAAAGGCGAGAGGGGCTCAGGGCCAGGGGAAAAGTCTGAGCTAGTGGCTGAAGCTGCTCTCTCGTGCATCAGCGGAGCTTGACGGCTGAGTAGAGCCGTGTTTTCGTTGGGACCGGGGCTTGGGCGTGTCTTGGGGTTGTTGCTTTGGCTGGGACTGGAGGCGAAGATGTCAACATCAATGACCGAGGCAGATGGGGTGCGACGCTTGATGGTAACGGGTACTTCACGCGGGCCGCCTTGGGGGTCCAGCTGCAGAATGGTTGACTCGGGCTCAAACCTGGTCGGCTCTTGTCGCTGCAAGCCTTGTTGTCGCTCCCGAGGCCCTGTGCGTTTGAAATGAGGTCTCTCTGTGAATAACAATCTGACACAACCTCTTCCCGGACGCGCGATTCATGTGGCGAAGCCCACGAGCAAGCGAGGCAGAGCGCAAGGTTGGGTGCGTTATTCGCACCGCTAGCAGGCCTGGACGACTGAGGTGAGGCGCGCTTGTGGGGAGATGTGCGGGGTGAGCGACGCGGTGACTGATGAGATGGCTGCAAGGGGGCGAGTTCGTCGTCGCCATCGTCGTCGGCATCTTCAACCTCTTCAGATGCCTCAGCCTCTTCGGCGTCTTTGGACGCTTCGGCCTCGTCGGATGGCTGAACGTCTGCGTTGAGGCTTGGCTCGACGTCCAGTTCAAAGACGTCCGGATCTGCTGTGGGGCGCAGATACTGAACGTTCATCCGCCCAAACTATGTCATTGGTATGGACAGGCAGTGAGCTTGCTCGATCAAGGCGAAGGGAGCAGACACACGGCTCCTTGGAGGCAAACGCCTGGATCGTACATGATCAATTTCGCCGACGGCCTCGACCCCTTGCGTTGAAGTGACAATGTGCAGGCGGTCATGCTCAAAGGGCGTGCCCACTTCTGCATCAAGCATGGATTCTGGGTCAATGGGCTCGCTCACGGCTGTCTCCGAGGTGCTAGGTGCCGGCGTGGCCTCGTGGCCCGGTGGCTCTGATTCTACACGGCGTTCAGACATGCCGGCGGCGCCACTAGCACACCCACTATCCTTGGCTTTGACCTAGAATTTGCACCGCACCCACCCTGTGAGCTTGATCCAGTGCTCATTCAAGACCCGAGCATTATCAGGACGACGCAGCTTTGTCGGTGCGCCACGAGCCCCTCAACCCAGGTCACAAGCCATCACAAAAAAACAAGCACGGCACAACGAGCTCCCACAGACCACCACACAGCAGCACTCCACGACACCCTCCAAGAGACACAAAGCCACACACAAGGCCACACACAAGGCCACACACAAGGCCACACACAAAGCCACACACAAGGCCACCACAAGGCCACCACAAGGCCACCACAAGGTCACCACGAGGCCACCACGAGGCCACACACACACACACACACAGAGCGGCGCGCGAACCAGACACACTCACCAATTTGAAGAAATCTCTCTCTCTCTCTCTTCTCTCTCTCTCTCTCTCTCTCTCTCTCTCTCTCTTGTGTTGGAGGCCTTTTGGGTCGCTCATGCTGACAATTCGATTCGACTCTGCATGGGTAAGCGATGGCGATGGTAGTGGTGGTGTTTGTTCTTCTCTCTGCTGGTTTAAGAGATGAGGGCGTGTATCTCTGGGAGGTTACTGTTTTACAGTGATAAGACAAATGAAGTTGTGTTCTTGGCTTCCCGTCTCTGTAATTTCAACACCGTTCACACGTCCCTCTCTCTCTCTCGCTTTTTGCTCTCTCTCTCTCTCGCACCGACACACACACACACATGGCATCGACTTTATCGGGATCGCGGCTCGTGCTGCGTGATGCCCGTATCACGGATCGACCGCGTCTGTTTCATGCCCTCTCCGACGGTATCTATGGCGGACATGACTACCTGTACGCTCTTGATTCCTCCATCTTGTGCTCTGTTGGTTGGCTCGACCGTAATCCCCCTCGAGCCTCTCCCTCCTCACATCCATCAACCTGGTGGTCCGCAACACGCCGCTCTTGCTCTCTCGCTCACGGGTAACGCTCGCCGATCAACAGGCCCTTGTTCTTTGAAAAGTGGCTTCACGATGATCTCCACCACATGATTGTGGCTGAGATGGAGGAGGCGACCACGGCCGCAGAGCCCCACCCTGAGCTAGTGGGGCTTGACACGATTGGTCTCTACGATCAGGGCGCCACGGTTCTCTTTCAGGCCATGCGTGTCAACCCGCGCTTTCGCGGACAGGGCCTTGCCAAGGAGCTCAGCGAGGGCGTGCGTCGCCTGGCACTGGCCCGATTTCCCAACGTGCGCCGGCTGCGTGCCGTGATCCAGCACCACCATACCTCGTCGATCCGCGTGCACGTAGCCCAGGGCTATCAGTGCCTTCATCGCGAAGCCTTTGGCATGGCCGCCATTGATGGCCGAGGGATGACCGCCCTTGCCCGCCGGTATGCCACGGCGGCTGCCCTCCTCGTGCAGCTGTCGGAAACTTGCGGTGGTTCCGCCGGCCACGTCCAGGCCCACGCACAGAGTTCGCAGGTTGATGTGCGGCTCGTGACAGCCCGTGAGCTCTGGGCAGGCTTGGCAGCCCTTGACGCAACCAAGCGGGCACAGTTGCTGCCTCATAACCTCTTTCTCGTCGATTGGATGCCATATGAAGCCACTTTGGATAATTTGTGCTTAATGGAACAATCTCTCGGTATGACTGCGTCTGTGCGTGGTTTGCCACTTCAACCAATGCAGTCGACCCGGTTCCATGCCTGACGTGCTTGTATGTATGCTCCGTCTCGCTGCCTTTGTCCTTTCTTCTTCTTCTTCTTCTTCCTGCTTTCCTTTCGTTTCGTGTTTCGACCCGCGCACAGACATGGCCTTTTTAGCGGCGCTGGATTCGCAGACCGGCTTGGTGGGCTTGGCTGTTTGCCAGCGCTCCGCTCGGTGCAGGTTGGTGTTTATCTGCCTCTGCGCGCCCCCGATACGTTTGTTTACACCCTACCCTGTCTTGCGCCTCGGGCTGATGCTAGTCTCCCAATCTGGCTGACCTCCCGCTGTTGTTGTTGCGTGCCTTGTGTAGCGGGCAGCACCTCTTTGCTTGTGTCCGGTGCGACGGCGATCCGATGCTGTTTGCGCGCTTGGCCGACGCCGCACTCGTGCTGTTTTGGCACGGATGTGCTTATCTCTGCCTTAGCTATGACCAAGCCCTGCGCGATAAGATAAGCCCCGCCGAGGACCGCCCCGACGCTCGACCGGTCCCATGCCTGACAGCCATGGCAACGCGCCTGCCCCTCGATTTCTCCGCCGACTACATGCACGGCTCTCAAGCAGTATATGAACTGGCCATTGAGCACGCTTCGACTTGACTCGATGCAGTTGTACGATGATGCCCAGCCGACCATTTAATTTCAATCTAATTTTGACATAATTTATGCTTTATTTTCGCTGCATTTTTTAACATCACCCCTTACATCTAATGATCTTGCGCGTGGTACTGCTTCTGCGGGATGCCGTTTAGCAGCGGCGTGGGCGACGTGTCGCTCGTGCCGCTGGTGTCGTCCGGTGCCATGCTCCTTTACGGGCGATGATTGATGGAGTGAGGTTGTTCCCCATTTATGATACAATTGGAGAACTCTGATGATTTGCAAGAATAGTATCCAACATCAAATTCAGTTCTCTATGTTTAATTAAACAAACAACAAGACAAATTAAAGAAGAATGGCGACGGCAGCTCCCAAGTTCAACGTCCTTGCATGGCAGCGGTGTGCAGCATCGAATGCTGTTGGTTGGACACACGGCAAAACTCGACAGAGGCACGCAAGGAAATGGATACTGACAATGAACAACGGAGTGTGCCGTGCAGTCAGCAAGACGCTTTGACTATCCCAACTGGGAGGCGAGGCTTCACATTCTCAACCCATGTGACTGCGGTTGGCCATTCCAAAGCTTCACTTGAAGAGATACAGTTTGTAGTGGTTTAATTATTTTGGTGGCCGGGGCCAGCGATCGAGGTTTAGGGTTTCAACAAGTGTGGGAGAAGAACGGACAACGTAAGAGATGTCATGTCTTCATCAGCGGCACACAGCCAACGCGAAGTGAGCAAGGGGGGTTTCAGACGCGCGCATCCGTCTAGGCGTGCGCGCGTATGTGTGCAGCGAATGCGTACGTTTGTGTGGTGTGTTTAACCAGAAACAACAACAGCATCAAGAACGACGACAAACGACGGCGACAACATTTAGTATGTGACTAAAAAAAAAGAGACAAACCACACAACGACAAAACAACGGGATAGGAGGAGCGGCTTGAGCCTAATGACAAGTACGCTGCTCCGACAAAACTCACAACGTCCGTTGGGAAGAGGGAACAAGTGTGAGCCGGGCTGCCGGTTGCAACTCCATTTCTAGCCTAGTTAGAATCAGCCTCGTACTGCCAAGGCAGGTTGAGAACCTCGAGAGGGAAGTCATCGGGAAGGGCCGGGGGCTGGAACTCAGCCGAGTCGCCACTCTGATCGGGGACGTAGGCAGAGAAGGCGTAGATGAAATCAGCCTTGGCAAAGCCGTTGAAAGTAGAAGCCGCCGCGCCCGTGTAGGCGCCCATGCCCGCCACGTAGAGCCACTCGCCGACGTCCAGGTCAGGGAGTTGGCACGACTTGGCAACGCAGTCAATGCTATCGCAAGTGGGGCCCCAGACGGTGCTATTGTACTTCTTGCCCGTGGCCTTCTTGTAGTTGAGGGGCTGGAGCTCGACGTCAGCGTGGTCAAAGATGATGCAGTTGAAGGAGCCATACACGCCATCATTGACAAAGTAGTTGACCATGGCACCGGCCGGGATGGTCTCAAGCTCATCGGCATCAAGCATACCCTGGAAGGTAGTCTCGGAGGGCGAGATGTCACCGCTGGTCTCGGGAGCCACGACGCGCTTGGCAATGACGCTGAGGGCCAGGGTCATGGCGTTGGCGGCGTAGTAACGTCCAGGCTCGGCAATGAGGCGCAGGCCTGACACGTCGCTAAAGTGGTTGGCGACAGCATCGCGGATGGAGTTGGCGATCGACTCGAAGCGCACCTTGGGGGTGCGACCAGCAACGGCCTCGCCAGGGAAGCCGCCTCCGACGTCGAGAACGGTAGGGGCAAAGCCATAAGCTTCGGCGTCGCGGAAGACCTGGCGGGCCTTGGCAATGGCATCATCGTAGACAGCGGCATCGGTGCAGCCACTGCCAACGTGGAAGCTAACGCCAGCAAGGTTGAGACCAGTGGCCTTGCATGCCTCGATCAACGAGGTGGTCTGCTTGCCGACGACGGCGCCAAACTTGAGGCCGAGACGGCAGGCCGACTTGCTGTCATCGGCGAGGATGCGAAGGACGACCGAGGCCTCGGGGTAGATGCCAGCGATCTTGCGGAGCTCCTCAGCAGAGTCAAAGGTCATGAGGGTGACGCCAACCTCCTTGGCGTAGCGAATGTGTGAGGCGGGCTTGCAAGGGTTGGCATCTATGGAACGGAAAAGGAAAGCCCAGATGTGAGATTTGTTGAAGAGCAAAACAAGAAAGAACAAGAACAAAAGCAGCAAACGCTGAAAGACACCTGCGGGCGTGTGGACGAGCAAAGGCAAGGGGATCAAGGGAAAACCAACGTACAGATGATGCGTTCGGGGGTGACACCAATGCCGAGGACGGCTTCAATCTCAGCACGGCTGGCGCAGTCAAAGTTGGCACCGAGGGAGGCGAGGCAGCGAAGGATCATGGGATCCGGGTTGCACTTGACGGCGTAAAAAGGGGTCACGTCAGGCAGCTCCTGCTTGAAGAGGTGGTGTTGGCGATAAACCGAGCCGAGGTCAACGAGGAAGAAGGCGTGCTCCTCCTTCATGACACCGGCCTTGATGACGTGCTTCAGGGTGGAGCGGAGGTGATCATGGCGGTTGCCCTTGAGCGGGATGGCCGCCAAAGTAGGGGTTTCCTCATCATTTTCGGGTTTGTCTTCAAACCCCAGATAATCCTCGGGCAGGTCGGCCTGGATCAGACCAATGGGGGCCTCAACATCAACCATCAGGCTTGGCGGGGGGGGGCACAAGAGACCGGAAGGAAGTACACTCCAAAACAAGTGAAAGCTGGCCAGTGACCAAGATTGTCGACAATTGCTTGCGAAGCTTGCTGCACACTGAGGAGCGCGTTGGGAAAATGCCACCAACGCCCGCTTCGATCGAAGAAATAGAGAGAGAGAGAGAGAGTAAAGAGTACAGAATGTGTCTTGAGTTGATGGGGAGATGGCAAGGGAGCAAGTCGGGGAAGCGAATAGGGTAAGCCGACACAACAGTAAGCAAGTAACCGTCCGTTCACAGTCCGCGTGTGTGTGTGTGTGTGTGTGTGTGGGGTGGATGTTACTGAAGATCACCAATGACACAAGCATGCATACGAAATACAAAAACAAGCATATGCAAACCAGCTTTGTTTGATACACTTTCAATGGTTGTTGCAGTCAAGCAGCTTGTCCTTGGGGCAGATTGCAGTCACATCATCGTGGTGGTATGTTGAGGCTGACGGGAGAGCGGGGAGGGGGGGCGCGTTAGGAGGGGCGCGTGAGTGGCAAGCCTTGCTCGGGGAAGCCCAAGCCTATGGGTTGGGTTGGCAAGGGATGACGAGGATGTTGTCTTGGATTCCGTATGATCGGGGTCGCGGGCTTGCTCTGAAGCCATGTCTCCTCGGCGCTGCTTCGGGTCCAGGTCGGTACCATCGTGGCGAGAAAGAGGAAGGAAGGAAGGAATCACGTCACGTCGTGCCGACTCATTCAACTTCATCACGTGCCCGGCATTGATTTCTTGGTCAGCATGTTGCAGTAGTTGGCAGCTGGATTTGGGCGCATCTTCGCAATGCCTCCAAGATTCTGTGTGGGCAGGGCCTGTGCGGTTGCATGTCCATCGTTCTTCCAGTGATATCTCATCCCAACGCACATTCCAGATCGGACTGACCAACTTCAGCCTGTGTCTGAAGACACAATGTCATTAGTCGCCGATCCAAGGCGCCGCTGCCATTTCTTGCCTCTCTAAGCTGGGGATAGGCGCGGTTTGGGGTTCTGGTTTTGTGGGATCTGGATTTAAAAACAAAGCAATACACGTTGTGTGGATGTGTTAAAGAATACAAGGGATGCCACAGTGTTGGCGCACGAGGCAAGCAACACGCATCTTCGCCGTGAAGCATGTCATGAGACCCATACAGATATGGCCATGGCATTGTCAGACATATTATTATTTGTTTTTGATGACAATGTATCGGATATGCTCACTGACTTCACGGCGACATCGGAAGCCGCTTGAACAACCGCACAGAAAGAAGTGGAAGAGACAATTTGGGTGTTTGACTTGATTCGACTGTGGCCGGCTATGCAACCACACCACAAACACGCTTCCTTACAACACGCCAGGCGCTCAGTGACCCGAGGCGTTAACAGACGACACGTTTCAACAGAAAAGCAAGAGGGCACAAGGCAAAGCCCTTTGCTCGAGAAAACACGCTCCCACGGGATGGGATGCACAGGCCAAAAGGCGAACGGTAAAAAAAAAGGGCCAAAAATAAAAAAAGGAAGGCCGGGAGCCAGGGTGCAACAGATGATTATTGTGCATAGAAGCAGAGCACCAGCCTCTCGGCGGGATCGAACATTGAAATGGAGGCCATTTATTCGGCCAGCCAGTATGACTCAAGCTGGAAAGTGTAGGAATAATAACCCACAAGGAGTTAATGAGAATATCAAACCGGGTCCTCATAAATACACCTTCCTTTGCCTTGGCATCCATCTCGCGTTTCGAAGCGGCGTCAACTCTACCAGGAGAGATAAGAAGAGCGTACCTCGGCAAATTCACTTTCCCAATCAGAGTTGAAGACAGACTGAACGGTTGAGTTGATCAGCTTCATGCGGCACGCTGAGATTTCAGCGTCGGGCGTGAACAACACTGCATCGTCGCAATGGTTCATCTGGACCTCGCCTGTGGTATGAGCACATTCCAGATTGAGCAAAGGGTCAGCCCTGGGAACTGGGTTATTCAGCTTGACTCTGCACGCGCGAGCAGTACAGATGTGCAGACGGCCCATCGGACGGCCTCATGTCACGTACAGGCGGGTGTAGCCAGCACGATGCTTGCAACGAAGACGGCCAACATGACTGCGCGCGCACGGATCAGGCAGACGGAAAGCATCAGTGCAGCGTTACGACAACCAGTCGAAGACTACCATGTGAGCCGAGCACCCGCAGATTCGTAGCGAGGTGCAAGTGTTTGGCTCCCCTCGCTTCCATCAATGGCGGCGCGATTGGGAAGCATGACATTGGCATTGTATCCAGCAGATCGGCACGCCCCGGAAACATTGGGCAAAGAAGCCCTCCTCCAAGGGACTCACCCAGAGCAAGGCGGATGGAGAACATGACGGCGGTCGTCGGGTCGGAGTTTAGCAAAAGTGTGTGATCAAGCTACAAAAGTGCCCAACGCTCGCGTCAACCGGCGACAAAGCAACAAAGCAACGCTCCTCCTTGCGGTGCACTCTTTTCTCTTTTTGATTTTTCCCTTTTCGGGGGTTTTCCCTTTGGGTTATGCTTGTGGCTGTGTGGAGTGTGTGGAACAACGTGGTGGGGGGCACCAAACGTGTGAAAGAACAAAAGAGCGTAGTAGCAAAGTCCTTTTCAAGAGTTGTGTGTCTTGTTTTTCAGCAGAAAGTTGGTCTTGAATTGGGATCGCGGCAAAAACCTGGCCTAACTTATTCGTGATTTGCATTCAACCGTAGAATAATGAAAAAGAGTTGTTGTTGTGAGCCACGAGGATCATAAATTTGCTGACATTGAGAAACAAAAACAATTGAGGTATATATGTACTATTATCTCATCCAGCCCACAAGCAGTGCATTAGCTTGCGACCATCGATGCCGTGGCCGAGTGGTTAAGGCGTTTGGCTGCTAACCAAATGGACTCTGTCCGCGTAGGTTCGAATACTACAAGACGTTGTTCATTGGCTTGATTGGTCTGTACACCATCGAGCACAACGAATATCCTGCCGGCATCGGTTAATTCTTTTGCTCTTTTGGCCTCTGATCTCTTGTGCGACCTGAAGAAGTGAGGTGGGCGTCAGGCGGCCAGTATGTCGTAGCCCGGCTACCCCCCTGTTTTTTTTTGATGCTTGCTTCCACCGATCAAGTCGGCCGATCTTCCCTTCCTCCTGAGACAGTTCCTGGAGAGAGCAAAGATTTGAACGCACAGTTTTTCGTTGAGCAAAATCATGCTGACAATCGAGGCGATTCAAGTAATAAATAAGTTATATAACAAATTATCGTTCGTCGTTATCAACCCTCGATGCCGTGGCCGAGTGGTTAAGGCGTTTGGCTGCTAACCAAATGGACTCTGTCCGCGTAGGTTCGAATACTACAAGACGTTGTTCATTGGCTTGATTGGTCTGTACACCATCGAGCACAACCGAATATCCTGCCGGCATCGGTAGATTTTTTTGCTCTTCCTTGAAGCACGATTGGTGTTTATCAATCAATGTCCCCCTTATCTCCTTCCTCAGACTTTTTACCCCCTCATCTTCACGGTGTCACGTCGATGAGGGAATTCAATTTTGTAACTCAGGGCTGGAGGCAGTCTAACGAGGTGTGAGGGACTTGCTCGTGCACGCCAAATGTTCACTGCCGTGTGGCGTATCGGAGACGCTTCAAAGGGGCCACTCACGCCTCGGCTCGAGCGTTCAGCTTGTTGCTGAGGGAGCGGAGGGCCATGTCGACAGCAATGGTAATGAGAACGCTGGTCACCACCATGCCGGCTTGTGCGGCTTGCGGATAGCCCACACCGTGAAGAGCAAAGGTCCACAGCGATAAGACGGCAGCCATGTTGGCCTGCAGTCCCCACCGATAACGACACAGTCCATGCACCAGAAGAGCTCAATGTGAGTGGGGCTACAAGACTGACGACAACAACGAGTCAGGAGACGTGGGGTGTCCCGCGGTTCCAACATACCGCACACGTGGCCAGCTTGCCTTCACCGCGTGCCTGGATGGCGCGCTTGGGCGCCGTTGAAAAGTAGTCTTGGAAACTGGGGAGGCGGAGGCGGTAAAAGTTGAGTGATGAAGCTGCATGCCTTTGTGTGGTTGCTTTTGTTTGAATGTCGAGGTCAAAATCAGGCGGGAAGATCTGATGCGCATGTTCCACATACCGAACAATCGCCAGGGTTGCCTGCACGGCAATCTTGATGTAGGCGGCACGTCGCCAGAAGGTGCCGAGCGCCGAGCTCAGCGGGCTCATCAGCAACGCTGTCAACATGCCAATGTGGAAGAGCTGGGCGAGGAATGTTGCAAAGCCACAGCCGATAAGAGAGCTCAGTGCTGAAGATGGCCTTCATCCTTGTGCTAAACTCACCTTGTCCACTTGGGCATCGAGAAAAGCCCCAAACTTGCCGTCGTCGCCTATGGGTCATCAAGCCGTGCAAAGAGCCGATTTTGGCGTCAAGCGAGAAAAACCAGGCGAAAAGCCGTGGAGGGAGAGCCGGGCAGCGTGTCCATGCGAGTTTGCCAAAAAGGGTGTGGCATACCTCCGGCACGGCCCTTGTTGTGGTCGGCGCGGGCTACGGCTCCATCCAGACGATCCAGCATGTCATGCAGCAAGGCCAAGCCACCTGCAAGTTGACAGATAACGCAGCACAAGCGCGGCACAGTGAGCCTGGATGGTTTTGTTGGTCAAAACTTGCAGGTTGGGGATCAGCAGGTATGTGCGTGCGTGTCAACGTTACCAACCGGCTGCGGCCAGGTAGGTGGGCGCGGGGGACTGCAGGAGGTGGATGCAGGGGATGAGGCACGCGCCCGCGGCAAAGGTAATGGCGTTGGGACTGAGGCAGCGCGGAAAGAAGCGCGAGTTGGCCAGGCTCGACATGAGCCGGTTCAACGGGTCATACACGAAGCGATGGTGCCAGCTCAAGATGGGCAGCGCCAGTGCATCGGGCAGCAACTGCAGCATCACCATGGCACTGGTCTCTATGCTGTGTACTCTAAAGCAGCTCAGCGCCTGTCACAAGAAACAACTGCCGTCCAGAGAAGCAAGCAAGCAAAAGGGACGCGCCAGCACTTGAGACCAACTGCGGCAGGTGCGATCAATGTCGAGAGAGAGAGAGAGAGAGAGCGAGAGAGAGAGAGAGAGCGAGAGAGAGAGAGAGAGAAAATGAGCCAATGGCTCCATACACAGACAAAAGGGAGAGATAGAGGAGAGAGAGAAAAAGAATAGAGAGAGTGCGCGTTGTGGAGCCCTTGGTAGTGAATCAGTGTAAGCCATGGTCTTGAGTCACCAAGCTGGCTGCATGCTCCACTGCTTCTGCCACCAATCTCGGGCAACCGTCCAGCCCTCCCATAGCATCGGACGCTGGCTGTCTCGGTTCGGTGCACCTCCCCCTCGCTCCGACACCGCGTTGGCCCCCGGGCCTTTCTTCGCACCAGCACTCGCTGACATTGCCACAGCGACCCACAGCTTGTGTGCGCCCCGGGCAGAAAGTTCATCACACATCACACTTTATGACCTTCAACCAACTTCTCTCTTCTGCGTGAAAATGTCTGACAAAATTGTCAGATAAAACAGGCAACGGTCGACAAATCAGCATCAACAACAAAACATGAACGAACACGTTGAATAAAGGGGCCGCTACTGCTGGTGCTGCTGCTGCTGCTGCTGCTGGTGGGATGGCGACCTCGGCGGTGTCGCAGCTGGTGCGGGACTTGGAGGTGGAGGTTGCGTCACTGGTACAGCAGCTGCGAAATGCATTGGCGAATCGGGTGGATGTGGCGGTTGTGCAATGTATAGATGGTTCGGGGGCGGGTCGAGGCTGGGGCCACTCGGCGCTCGGGTGGCTCGCGGCCATCCTTGATCTCTGCCGATCCGACACGTATGTCTGGCGATCCCTTCATTCTTGATCGGTACTTGTCGCGTTCGTCTCACCTTGGCGACCTGGCGGGCGTCTGATAATGTTTGTGCGTAGGAGCCGACAAATGTCGCGCTGGGCTGTGCAGATAATGCTCGACACGACCGTGCCAACATCGTTTTCAGCAGTCCGAATTGTCGTGGCCACCACCGCCATGCTTGCGGCCCAGCTCACCACCGAGCACGCGCTGTACGATCAATGGTCTCACTGGGCACGACATACGCATGCTGATACCAGCAAGCTGTCTGCACTCGCCAACCACCTATGCTCCCCAATCGAGCAAGCCTGTATCCTTCTCTTTTTCGCATCTCAGCCAACCCTGGTGAGTGTGCAACCCCCCCTGTCCGAGTCTCCGCCGCGCAAGAACCCTTGGTGTCTCTCACTAGCGCCACAATGTATCATGCTTCTCGGCTAACAGCCAGCTGACCAGCTGCTGAATCCAGAGTTTTTCCATGCCTGGGCTTGCCAGCCCAGTTTCTCCGCGCTGCTCCCTCATCGAGCCCACAGCCTATCTTCAAGCTTGGCCCGCGGCCTGTTGGAGGGTCTGAGCCGTTGTCCAGCCTTAGACACCGGCCCTGCACCGTGGTTCCCTCTTCTGGATGACTTGTCCTCCCGTTCCGACTTTGCCGACGTCCTTACTGTGAGCCTTACCCGCGCTCGACGCTGTCGCATCTGCACACTTTGTGGCCACTCATCCCAGCCCGCTGGCACGCACAGAGCCATTCTGAAGATCCCCTTGCCGTTATGTCATTGCCCTTGCAGCTGCTGGTTTGCTGTTTGACCTACAAAGTATGCGTCCAGCTCAATCCGCCGTGCGAGCGCGTTGCAAGGCGCTTTCACCTCAAGTGCTCTCTTTGCTCGCTCCTAGACCTGGCCTGCGGACGATGTGGTGCAGATTATGGTCAACGCTGCTGAACAATGCCAGCCTGGGTATGGCGAACGTGGTACTGCCCTTGTTGAGGGAGCGCCACCATGCTCCCCGCAGTCAGCGCGCCTCACTCGATGATGCCTTTGTTTTGTGATAGCTCGCCTCAAAATCTGCTGGGCCCAACCGCGTGGTATTCGCTGCATCAGGCGCTAGATCAACTCTCCATTACCCTACCCAAAGTCTGGGTTCCACCCGAGCCGGAGGCTCAGATAAACCCCGAAGGGCTTCTGAATAATCTAGAACAACAGCTGGCCACGCTGGCCACAGCTTATCCTGCACGGCAGCCCCAGATACCTGCTGCTTCGGCCCCGGACGTGCGTGCTGAGCATGGCGCCTCCAAAGCCTCGCGCGAGCCCGCCATCAAAGCCCTCTCGCCTGTGTCGGCACCGCCAGAGGCCAAACGCCGCAAAATCTCGCCTGATGTGACCGCCATTGAGTCCAGCATTGCTCAGACTGACGTCGCCGTGTCCAGCCCTCCACACCCAGCGCCCTCACCCGAGCGCAACCAAGCAAACCTAGCCTGGCTAACAGAGCAGCGGGGTCCTGACTGGGCCCCCACCAAGCACGACTGGCGTCGTGCAGCCGAAGTGCCCCAGGCGCATCTCCTCGCGGTAAAGCAAAAGCCTCCAACTCGTCTTCTCATGCCACCCTCGGAAAGCCGCTGCACCCTCAATGTTCTGCAATCAATCATTCATCAATGCTCCCACCGTGTCTTTGGTCGCTCCCACTTGCCGGACGAGCCACCCTCAATAGTATCCACCGCCCCCAACACTGAGCTGGCTTGTTGCATGCTTTGCGCAGCGACTCACCCTGCCGGCCCCCAGCATTGATCAAGCCAATCGCCTCTGTATGTGTTTTGCTGCTCTCCGTGCCTGTCACGAGCACGCTGTTTTTCTTGCTGACGAGCCTGGATTCTCTTCGCTTCTGTCAACTCATGGCGGTGTGCTCTGCTTGTGCCATAGTTGTGTCCTGGCGACAGGCGGGCACATTCGCACACTTTGTTGCCATGGTTGAGTGGCTCGGGCAACACTCGGCTCTGCCGACTTGGTGTCCGTCCCCACTACCACCCACCTTGCCTCTTACGCACACGCTCGTCTTGTCTCACTGGCATGAGTCCGCGCTCCCCGCAAGTCTGCCGGTGCTCTCTCTGACGCTGCTGCGCAAGCTGTTTTCCAGCTATGAGGGAGCTGCCGACGACGGTCTGATTGCCACCCGTGATTGCATGTGGCACCGTCTCGCAGCGCTAGTGGCCTTGCACAACATCATGTTGGGAAACCCTAGCGCTCAACAAGATCTCTTTGCAGACGCCGAACACTTGTTTCTCGAGTGTGTCTCGTTGCTGCTGCTGCCACGCGCCTTGCATCGAACACCGTCTTCTCAGGTCTCATTCTGGGCTTTATTGCCCCGGGTTACGTCTCGATGCGGCAGGGTGTTCATGCTGCGGCAGGCTAGTGAGACGGTGGCATGCGCCTCGAGCATGGTTGATCCACTTGTACACAAAGCCTCCCGGGTTATGATCGCGGTCAAGTCATGGCCGGGGCTGAACGTCGACGCCTTTGATGCCTGCGCAACTGCCGTACGTGCTCTCTCAGCCCCAGCCGTGTCACAACCTTTGTGATGGGGATCAAGTTTGTCAAAGCGTATGCTCATGCCCTGATGGCGCGTCTGGGCCCCCATCTGGCGTTCAGCTCTTGCACTCGGCAATGTCCAAAAAGGATGGCAAGCTTTATGAGCATGCCATCTTGTTACGTACGTTGTCTCGTGCAGCCGTCTCGCCAGCGTGTGACAAGTCGCACAGACCCTCGCTGACCAGTTTTTTCTCCGCCTCTGCACTCTTTTCTTTGTCCTTGCCCTAGGGTTGGCTTTGGGCTTTGTCGCACCGACGCGAAATTCAACCATTGTCTTTCAGGTCTGTTTTCTTGCCTCCAACTCGTTGCTATGGGACGGAAGTCACGGTTTTCTGGTTTTCTTTCGTTGGCTGTCAGCCGTCGCTCACTTTCACCACACAACCTAGTGTATGGCTGAGAGCCACCTCAATGACAAGATTGCCGTCCATTTGGCGACAAACCTCTGCCGTATCTTAGAGCAGGCAAGGTCCCAAATTTGCTCCAGCAGTTGCGCCGTGCTTTTTAACGAGGGTTCGGCTTCCTCATCGCAGGCATCAAAGGAGAAACGTGCGATTGCCGATGGTCAGTGTGTTACAGCAGCAAACTTTCTGCGCGAGCGATTGGAAAAGGTTGCTTGCAGCCCTGAATCTGAAGCGGGGAGTGCGACCCGAAAGCTGTTGGTCAAGGTGCGTCCTGTCGGCACTGTATGTCCGTGTAGGATTATGCGTCTCTTCTCTTTCGATATCCTAGCCAGCTCTCATGATAACCCTCATTTGTGTCGGATCACTTATCCGGAATACTCGTGCAGCTGTTCAAGTCTGTGGCTCTGTTGGTGGGCACTGGAACCGGGCTCGAGTGCGTGGTTCAAGCCCAGCTACTACAGACCCTCTCGCGCTGTTGTCGTCAGCCTGCGCTCCGTGCAAACGCTTCATTGGCCATGACAACCATCTGTGAGGTCTGTACTACATTTATCTCTGACTACTTTGCGGCCTAGGGCCACGCACGGAGCTCAGTCACGTTCGTTTTCTGCCAGGCCATGGAATCCGAACCGCGTTTGCAGCAGGCGGTGCTGTGCGATGAAGCATGTGGCGACATGCTCGTTAATTTGCTTGACAGTGTCTTTGAGCTGCGCCACGAAGACGCCCGAGACTATTTTGAGAACGGGGTTCAAGTTTGTCTCTTCTCTGCGTGTTCAGCCCCTTTGCTGCCTTCCTCCGATTATAAAAAATTCTAATATGTTTGTCGGCACGCAGGCTTATGCGGCTTGCGCCTTGGCTTATAGTTGCTCGACGCTTTGGCGCTCCATCGCTTCTATGTTTAGGTGTTGGCAGCAGTCCTACGCTGGGAAATGAAGCACGTGGCTACAGGCCGAGCGGGTGCGCCACAGCAGAATGCCATTTTTTCTTTCCCCATCACGGCTCGAGCTTATGAATGATGTCTTGGTCACCGAGAGTCTAGGTCCACACTGGAGTGAGTGGCTCACCAGGCTGGGGGTTGTGCTTTGCGAACATCTCGTTCGGGACCAAGATGAGCCAGTCCTGGTCGCAAGTTTACAGGAGGCCCCGGTCGTCTTTGACTTGAGCCACGCGCTACGCGCTTGCCTCAAGGACGAATCGACATTTCTGGCATTGCTTAAGGTGAGCCTCAATTGCTGCCTGGGGAGGGGAAAGAAAGTCGAGTACAAGGGTAGACGACTGCAAGAAGCCGTAGCTGCCTAATGGCGCAGCTCACTCGGGAGGTTGGCAATTCGTTTGCAGCAAGCCTCGTTTTCCAAGGTCGTGGGACAGTTGCTTGAGGCTGGAGCACGCTTGGATGAGTGCAATGACAAGGTGATGTTATTCGTGCCATTCTAACGACACAAGTGATTCCCAGTTTTGTCGCATCTGATTCGTGTCTGGCTGCTTGGTGCTGGTCAATCTGATTCCGATGCACAGACGTCAGCCGCAGCGATTGTGGGCATGATTGCTGCCATGGTAGCGCATGGCAAGCATCGTGCTCAATTGCGTACCTCCAGCGTCGTGCAGGTGGGAGTGCAAGCGACGTCGAGGGCTGTGGGAATGTCGCGTGCTCATGCCAGTGTGGTCTCACGTGGGTAATTCCAGGTGTTGGCGCGTGCGCGCTGGCTACAACGCGACTCTAACACCGGCAAGCAGCTTTTGCGGTAGGTTGCGCTTGAGCGACTCGAAGTAGTAACCTTCTCAGCGAGCAGCCTTGCCCGGAACACGTCTGACTCTTGTGGTTGCGTGGTATGTGAGATCAGGTTTTGCAACACTTTGCTGGGTCGTTAGAGACTGAAAGCATATGTAGGTTCCAGAAGGTCATCGGGGCATTCAAACCCTGATGCTCGAAACTATTTAGGTTAATGCAAAATACGTGCATCAATTGACATGTGAAGTACACACACTTCTGTTGGACACAAAAACAGCAGCACGGCTTCTGGGGCTTTGCAGGATGAGATCTGGCATTCTACATGGGTGAGCCAGGATACTTGGGGCAATCTGCTGCCACCCCCACGGCAGCATCAAAGCTTACTGGCTCAGCAGCTTGCGAGTGGCGGAGGCGGTCTTCTGCAGCGCACAGTGCCGCCCAAAGAAGACGCAAGACCGGAGTTTCGATTTTGGGATCACCAACCACTACATCGGGGTTTTCGCCGTACAGCTCGACGGGATAAATGTTGCAAGCTCGGATGCCGACGTCATGGGCCAATTCGCGAACCACATCGGCGACTTTGACGTCAGCTCCGAGAAGGTCAATCTTCGTGAGCGCCACGAGGTATGGCGTGCGCCTTTCATGCAGGCGGCGACGCAGTTGAATGATATTTTGCTGCACGACGGGATCTTTGGCTTGGGGTGCCGCGACGGTGGCAATGACGCAGTGCACGGCGTGTTGAGGTCCCGGATTATCCCGCAGAAAGTGTTTGTCTTCGTTGTCGCCCCCCTGGGTAAGGGGGTGGCCGCTGAGCATTCTGCCCGACAGCATGGCGCGCAGGTTGATTGAGTCTAGGTTGGCGTCGTGAAAACCCATGGTGTCCCAGAGTGACCAAGGCATGATGTGTGCGGCACGATCGTCCAAGCGAACGCCGCGTTCTTCAGCCAGGCGGGCCACATCGCTTTGGTTCAGCTTGAACTGCGTTTTGAAGAGCCGGTTCGTCATCTATTGGATTGACTCGTCTCGGATGAGCTGAGGTGCAAGCCACGGTGCGCAATGCGCACTGGCGGTGATATTATGGGTTATGCAGAGAAGAGGCAGCAGGACACAGACCTGACCATCCGTTGCGGCTTGTCCTTGCTCGACAATGTCAGAGAGGTGGCCGCGAACCATGAAGATTGTGTGCAGGGTGTTCAGCAGGGCCGATTTTCCGCTTCCGGCAGCGCCCGCCAGTAGAACATTGACGAGCGGAATGATGCTGGTGACATTGTGTGAGAAGCCCAACACGTTTCCGAGTAGCTTGTCGCGGACTTCGGCTGAACTCGCGTCGGCCATTTTGGCAAGTGGGATGGAAGAAACAGTCTTTTTGCAAAGGAGGTGGTTCGGATTGCCTATGGCAGAAAAATGCGTGGAAAAGCCACCGGTCGATCCGATCTTGAACAGCGGGGTAGGGCCTGTTCTTGACCCCGCAGCTCGTGATGCTTGCAATGCCAATGCACGCGTTTTGCTTGTGCTTGTGATGCTTGCGATGTGTTCTGCTTGTGCTTGCAATGTGTGCTTGTGTTCTGCTTGTGCTTGCAATGTGTGCTTGTGTTCTGCTTGTGCTTGCGATGTGTTCTGCTTGCAATGTGTGCTTGTGTTCTGCTTGCGTTCTGCTTGTGTTCTGCTTGTGTTCTGCTTGTGTTCTGCTTGTGCTTGCAATGTGTTGCAAAGTTTTGCTTGTGATGCTTGCGCCATTGCAGTGCGTGCTTTAAACTGGGGCATTTTTTTTTGCTGGCTTTGACCCTGTTGCTTTTCTTGGAGAGCAATGAAATGTGGGGCTTTTTTTCCTCGCGCCAGACGCCTGCAAATCGGGATGCCGGCGCTCTCGAAGGCAGACCCCGACGGACGGTGGAGGGACAGAGGGGGCCCCGGGATGCCAGCGCTCTCGAAGGCAGACTCCAACGGATGGAGGAGAGTCAACAGACGCTCCTGGCCGGGATAAACACGCTTGATGATCGCTTACGTCAGATGGAAATCATCGTCAAAGCTGTCTTGTCATCGCAACACTCAGAATCGAACGTGACCTTGCCCCGTGTGATCGATGAACAAGAAGGTCAAGCCTCGGACCCGAGGCCAGGCCTCTTGTTTGAAGCGACAGCGTCACTGGAGAGAACGCACCAAACGCAGCAACCACGCACGTTTGGGGATCAAGGCACCGCCGACGACAAACATCCCTCGTCAAAACCAGAAACGCGCGAGCAAGGCGTTCAATGTGCACTACGCGTGGAGGCACAGAGTGGCCCATCGCACCCGCTCTCTCTTGGGTGCCAGGCTGCTCAGCAAGAGATTGGTCTTCGAGAGTGCAAGTCCCTACCAGCAGCGGCAGCCAGTTCGAGCTTTGTCTTACCACAACGCAAACCAGTGGCGTTGTGGCGGATGAACTGGTCTCTGACGCTCAACATGCCGGTGCTTGAGTTGCCGGTCGAAGGCGATACATCAGCCCATGCGCTGGCAGCTGTGCTATCGGCAGAGAAGGCAACACTTCGAGATGATGCCCAGCGCATGATCGTGCTTTCCAATGCCGAGTCACGTCTTGGGCAAAATCTGCAGAAAATGGAGCGACTGTGCAGGACTGGACTGCCTGGAGGCCCACACGGAGCAGTTCGCATCTGCCTTGCCCTGCTTGTTCAAGAGACACCCAAGGGTTCAATGGATTATATTTGCAATCACACGCCGACGCCGACCCCCCCAAACTGGCCTTCTTGTATCGTGGTATTGTACATCAACTCTCACGGCCAGCTACACCCGGGCGAAGCCAATGCGAGTGGCCTACAAAGGCTCAACCAGTGGCTGGCCCTGTAAGCAGCGTACGCTGTCAATCAGAGTGGGGCTTCTTTGTGAGCACACTCCAGCCCGCCTCATCTCTTCCTAGAATACCTGTGTGTCTACAAGTCTTGATGCTGTGTGCTAGTGGCATTGTGATTCAAAGATCTTCCCCTACGCCCAGATCAAAATGCTCGTGAGAGCGGCTGCTTGCAAAGAATGACGACACACTCACACACACACACACACACACACACACACACACACACACACACACACACACACACACACACACACACACACACACACACACACACACACACACACACACACACACACACACACACACACACACACACACACACACACACACACACACACACACACACACACACACACACACACACACACACACACACACACACACACACACACACACACACACACACACAAGCAAAATGTGTGCACGCATGCATACTACTGAGCGAATCGTTGGCAATCGTCAGTTTTGTCTCTCTGTCTTGTCTGCCACTGTGTGTGTGTCTTGGCAGTGCATGCAATTGAGTGAAGAAAGGTGTTTTCAAACCTGCTCTGTGCGGGCGCGGGTGTCTTTTTGCTCGGGCGGCGGGTGACAATAAGAAAGACATTCAAAGTTTTGTGCTCTCGTTGCTGCTGGGATGCAACTGCTTCAACTCTTCTGGCTGGCCTCGGTTGCCGTGGCATTGGGCCATGCTGCCACATGCCCTGGAGGTGGGTTGGTCAAGTCTGCTCCAAGCCCCTTGTCCCTTCTTGCCCTTTCAGCGACATCTTTCCCGAATTGTCCGAGATTTTCGCGCTGACTCTCACCATTTGCTTGGGGGCCAGGAGTGCCGGGCTGCTTGCCCGAAGCCAATGCGTGCCGGGTGTGCCATCCGACGTGCCTGTACTGCCAGCGAATTGGAGATATGAGTCCTGATGGTGTTTGTGGACCGGACGACTGTTTGCAATGCCTGCACGTACGTGGTTGCCCGAGGCTTTTGCCTTTCCTCTGCAAGCTCAAGTACCAGGCGACAGCCTGTGATCGATGTCAAGCCGGGCTTGACAGTGGCGCATGGATGATGCGTGCTAATGTGGCGGCCCCGCTGTCACCCCGTGGCCTTGCACGCAATGCCAGGGCTATCGCTTCATTGAAAAGTATGAAGACGGCACCGGAGAGTGTACGGATCGACGTACGTGGCCCAAACATGCCATCCACGAGTGGCAGGCCGGGTTGATGTTCATTGCGCGGGCTTGGCGTGCCCGCTCACCGATGCCCCTCCTCCTACTGGTGCACCTCGGTTTTAGCGGCCATCTTCAAGGCTACGTGTCCGCAATCCTTTGCCTTGTGCTCTCCTGAAAATGAATGCGAGAGCTGTGACTCCTCCTGCGAATACTGCCAGGTCTGTCTCGCACCAAATCACGGTTGCAAATCGTTGTTATGCCCATCTCCGCCTTCATGCTAAATCCCTGGTATGGTATGTGTCCTGCCTGGGCTGGATATCGGTAGGGAGAAACGCAGGTTTGCGGCGTCAAGGATTGCATGTCATGCCGCGAGGGCTTTGTGCACCATGAACTCTTTGACGATGGCACAGGCGAATGCTTACGTGAGTTGGTCGTATACCTGCTGAGTCTGCGGTGTTGAGGCGGATGTACTATTCAGCAGCACCGGGTCTGGGCGCAGGCCATGATGTTAGCGATGTTAACTCTGACCTCATGACTGCGCTTGCTTGTAATGAAATGCCGATGTGCCAATCAAAAGCGCCGGGTGTCCAATTGGAGCAACACGAGGTCACCTGTCCAGAGGACATTCCTGGCTGTTACCGGGACAATCGGTGCGCTGAATGCCTCGTTCCTCTCTCCCACCACTGCGTACTGTATTGGATCTTTTGCGTTGCTCGATGCTCATACGCTGCTGAGGTCAGGTGTACGAGCTGTCATCCATCCTGTGAGTATTGCCAGAGCATGGTGACGTTTTCGGGGCAATGTACAGAGATGGATTGTCACACGTGTCCCGAGGGGCGCATCCTCGAACGCATCGATGGTAGCACAGGTCGCTGTATTGTCCTGGGTAAGTTTGCTGTTTTTGTCTTGGCTATAAGGGGGCCACCAGATGGCCGCGTGCATGGTACTCGTTTCTTACCTGATGTCACTCTGTTGCTGGCACGCGTGAATAGAGCCCGAGCAGCGGGGGGCTGCAGCTGCAGCGTCTCAACCCGACAACGGGATGCCAGAGCTGGCAGAGCAAGCCAGCTCCACTCCTTTCTGGCTCTCGGTCTTTGTGGTTGGCGGTTGTGTGTATTTATTGTTCAAAATGGGAATCGTGCGCGCCTTGCTACGCTAAGCCACGCATTCCACTGGCAAGTCATGCATGCCTTGCCCTGTCTTGAATACGGGCACAAGCCACGGCGAGGACAAGATCGAGATTTCTTGTGGTTTATCAAATTGAAGGCGTATGATTATTATCAGGTGCGGGCGCATGAGCGGAGGGTTATCTGCAGGCCTCTTGCAAGAGAGGTGTTGTCAACGCCAACCAGATCCAAAAGGGTATATGATTGGAGGTCAATGACAAGTCTGTCAACCTGTATGTTGGCATGGATGCGGGCGCAGTGGCCGTGCGTACCCATGGCATGTCAAGAGCCATTTGGCGTCAAATGTTATTGGCTGGTCGAGACGGTCGTGTTGCTACTGCCCGTGCTCTTGGCGTCGCGAAGCCATGCCGGGGGTGCCGTCCGCGTCGAAGGACTGTCTCGTGCAGCAGCCGGGGTAGGCGAGGGTGTTGAGGCCGTGCCTTGCTTGCGAAAGCGTTCAAAGTTCGTCTGCATAGCACTGAAGAGCTGCAGACCGTGCCCACCGGGCACATCAACAAAGTGACACTCGAACCAGTCCGATTTCGGGGCTGGGGTAATGATGGCCACAACGTCTCGTCCCTCGGCTCCGTTTAAAACGCTGACAAATCGAACCTCCTGGACGGGGCACCGCTTTAAGGCTTGATCTGTTGGTGGCGGCAACAGGCGCAGGTGAGTGGATAAACAGCACCGCTACTCGCGTCTTTCCCCGGTTGGTGATGTCCCTGATCCATGGGGACTTACTGGCACCCTTGAGGGCAATCTGAAACACCTTGGTCGTGATTTGCACCAAAGCCGGCTGGCCTTTGGCCGCGGGATGTCCAGTTTTCTAAACACGATTAGACAGGGCAAAAAAAAACAAACACAAATTGCACACGGCAGGAATGAATAGATAGTTGACAGCCAGGGTGGAAGCAGAAAGTAGGATGAAGAAGAGGATGAGATCATGGTCGGGGGCAAACGAAAAACAAAAACAAAAAAACGTACAGCGAGCTTGGCTCGCTTGGTTTGGTTGGCGTCGAAGGCACGAAGAACCACGGCGTCACCCTTGGAATTTCGAACGGGGACTGTGCCCAGATAGTTGCCAAAAGCGCGACCGGGGTTCTCTTTTTCCGGGGCAGTCTGTGCGGACTGAGCTGGTCGAACGCGCTGGGTTGGCTGGCGAGCTGGTGCGGCTGTTTTCTTGGGCTGGGCTTTTTTGGCTGGCGCGGATGACACAAATTTGTTTTGGGCAGCTGCGACACGACCGCTGACGCTACTGGCGCTAGGTACGTATTCTGGGTTGTCGTCAGACAGACGATGAGACCATGAGAGGGCAAAAGGCGGTGCAAAGGGAGGGGGAGGAGGAGAAAGCAACGAGGCAGATGGCGGATGGCGAAACAGCGGGACGGTGGCTGAAAGGGGTATTGGTGGATCCTCCATACCTTGCGCACGGGGTGGCGCGGCGCTGGGTGGTTCAGGCGTTCGGGTGGGAGTGACGGTATCATCGGGAAACTCGGCATAGAGGTCTTCTTGATCAAAGTCGCCCTCTTGCAGATCAGCCGGAGCATCATAGAATTCGATCATTTGCTCTGCCATGGCGAACAGGTTCCGTTTCCCTGCCTTGGCACGGGCCTTAGCTGCAAGCCAAACAACCGAGCCGTGGCGGTGTGTGAGCGTGCGCACCGAGCTTGAGCATCTCCACCACCCAAAGCCAATCAACCATGATAACAAGCCCACCCCATCCCTCCCAGCAACAACGCCTGGAGCGAGCTGTTCGGAAAAGGAGGCAAAGCGCAGCCAGAGGGCGCAACGGGATGGAGCGAAAGAGGCGAGAGGGGGGGGCGGCTCCGAGCGCAATCCGTTTAGCCACACACACCTCGAGCGGCGAAAGCGAGAGAGATCAGGAGAGGGAGAGGAAGAGTTAGGGAGGGAAGAGGTACTGATGCACCGTCTGCCGTCACGTCCCCGCCCCTGTATACAAGTACATCGGATGGAGGCGACCGGACCGGCTGCCGTTTGACCCCCAAAATCGAGGAGTGTGTTAGATCGCCTTTGTCCCACAACTTGTTGAAGCGAGACGCGAGGAAAATGTAGATCTAATACAGTCTATAAGTTAAGTTATGGAAGATAGAATAGGGGTTATTGTCGGAAGGATGGAAACATCAGGACTCTTCTTTCTTCTTCTCATCCCTACCACAATACTCTCACTGCATTCGTCAAAACAGATCAACTACATTTAGTAGTACAACCCCAGTTGCATGCATGTATGCATTTGGGCGGGAGCGGAATGCCAGAATGCCCGCTGCGATGGCCCATCGCAACCCAGGACTGCCATCTATGCTTGGTGCGTGCTCACACCCCATCTACTGCTGTGAATTTGTGTATGTGCGCGCGCTTCCTGCAGCTGTGCGACCCGGCTGGGTCAGCTGACTGGCGAGAGACAGTCCAGTCGATACAGTTTGCGATCGGAATGCTTGTGCAAGCGTCATTTTTTTTTTTGCTCTTTTGCGGTTCCGGTCTTTGACATCACGCTGCTTGCGCTACGGCCCAGGGCGCTCCTGCTGCATGAAGCGACACAGCTGCTTGATCAAGCTTCCATTCCAGCGTTACCACTCGCACAGTTGCTGCGATCGGCCAAAATCAGACCACCAACACAGCTGCGGGGGTTCTCAAGGTCTAGCCAACGCCAGAGCAGAGCGCCATGGCTGAGACGCTGCTGTGGGAGGGGGAAATTGTCAAGGAGGGCGGGGGCATCAAGTCGTGGCGGCGACGATTTTGCAAGCTCACATCGCAGCACCTCTCCTATCACTGCCACAAGCACGGCAAAGGACGCACCAACAAACGGGTGCCGCTGGCCCAGGTGCAGGTAGGCTGACTGCCACATTTGCTGCTCTGGGCCTGGTAATTCCGCTGCAGCCTCTCCTCACCCATGTATTCCCCCTGCACGAATCTCTTCCGCCCTCCTGCAGCGCGTGGTGCCGCCGCAGCAATGTATCACCGCCTGGAATGGTGTTGAGGATATGCGGCGCTGCCTTGGCGTGGCCTTGGAGACGGGCCGCACCCATTGCTTTGTGTTTGAGACGTCGGAGATTTGCCTGAACTTCCAGGTCCAGCTGAATCTGGCCCTCCTGCATACCCTTCAACACAGCGACAACGCGCTCATCGTGTCTTACGGCCTTGGGCAGCTGACCACCCTCCTGAATGCCCATCCCGAGCCCGTCGCAGCCGCCCTGCGGGAACCCGCCCGTCACATTGCCCGCCTGCAAGCCTTGGTGGCCGCCAAGGGCAAGCACCCCGTCATCATCGAGTACGCCGAGCTTTTGCTTGGTGCAGCCAATGCCCCATTGGTGGGCCGCCGCGACAGCCGCTATGGTCCTGAAAGCCTGCGTCGCCCATCTGCCACCGCCGTCCTTCCCTCACTCCCCGCCACCAACACCACCATCGCCATTCCCTCTGCCGCCTCGAGCTGACCAGCCGTGGGTCTCTGGAACACCCCCCCTTCCTAGCAAGAACAAAGCGTTCTTTTTGACTGCTGTGCTCTATTTTTATCTCATTCATTCCTGTGGGCACACGGCCCCGTACCATGTTTTCAGGTTTTTTTTTCAGTTGAGTCTCGTATCAGTGCGAGCGGCGTGAGCCGACCGAGCCAACCTGATTCTGTCAAAGCGGTATACAGGGGGTGGGAAGTGGGGGCGGAGAGACTTAAAGAGAGCTTGAGAGAGAGCTTGAGAGAAAGCTTGAGGGAGCTTAAGAGAAAGAGAGCTTGGGAGAGAGCGTGTGTGTCAAGAGGAGAGCCAAGAGGCGATGAAGAGGAGACCAGGGTGAGGAGAGCAAAGAGGAAGATGAGGACCATGGCAAACATCCATCCTACGTAACCTCCCATATGTGTGCGTGTGTGGCATTGACCAAATTTGGAAAAAGTGTGAGAGAGAGAGCTTGAGAGAGAGAGAGAGCTTGAGAGAGAGAGAGAGCTTGAGAGAGAGAGAGAGAGAGAGAGAGAGAGAGAGTTTGAGAGAGAGAGAGAGAGAGTTTGAGAGAGAGTTTGAAGAGAGAGAGTTTGAAGAGAGAGAGAGAGATTTGTTGTGTTTCGAGCATTTCGCGCCTTCTCCTCTTACTCCTCTTACTCCTCTGGTGGTGCTGGTGGTGCTGGTGCTGCGGTTCTAGGGCCCTGATCTCTGGTGGCCTGATATCTGGTGGCCCGATCTCTGGTGGCCCGATCTCTGGTGGCCTGATCTCTGGTGGCCTGGTGCCTGGTGCCCTGGTTCTGACTCTCTGATTCTTTGATTCTCTGGTGCGAGCCCTCTAGTCTTATGGTCCTTGGCTCTCGGAAGCAAGCGAGCTTGTCGTTTGCGTTTCACAGCTCTTTTGGGCTCTGGTCGCCTTTTTTCTTTCCATCCAGGCCGCGTCATCGTGACAACGCCGCCGGGCATTCCTCAGGGGCCCGCTTTTGTTGAGCTTGTGCCAACGTGGCATTGTAGCAAGCAAGCGAGATCACTTCAAACCAAAGGGGTGGAAGCTTGGGCCAAGGTCCGCGAGGCATCTCTGACGTTTCATTTTGCCACCAGCCATCATGGGCGCCGTCATGTCCTGGATGTGGCCGCTGCGCGAGCATCGCATCGTCTTAGTCGGCTTGGATGCCGCGGGCAAGACCACCATTCTCTACCACCTCAAGCTCGGAGAGGTGCTCCAGACAATCCCCACCATTGGCTTTAACGTCGAGCGCGTTGATCAGGATAACAAGAAGCTGGTGCTCTGGGACGTTGGCCTACGCTCTGCCGCCCGCCCACTTCTCCATCATTACACCGTCGACGCCGAAGGATTCATCTTCATCCGTAGGTCCCCGCATCGGCCAAACGTCAGCGGAAGAAGGGCGCTTCCCAAGGCTCTACCCCTTGCCACCGTGCTGCGTGACCGTCCGTTGCTTCCTCATTGCACATTTTGCGCGCAACGTTGTCATTGGCAGTTGATTCGGCCGATAGGGAACGGCTCAGCGAAGTTCGCGAAATGCTCGATTTCAGCCTTTTGAAGGCTTCCCCCCGCACCCCCATTCTATGTGTGTTTATGCGGTCTTCTCGTTGACCCCCGCCGCCCAAGCATTCGTCCCTTTATTTCGCCCATTCAGCGTCGTGGCCCACATGCATGCTTTGGCATGACTATGCTCCTCCTCACCACTCTCTTGGTGCTCCAGTCGTGCTGAACAAACAGGACTTGGCCGGCGCCATGACCATAGACGAGTTTAAAACCGACTTTCTTCAGTCTAGCGATATGAAGCGGCCATTGTACGTTGCCTGGTGCTGCGTTGTGTCGAGTTGGTGTTTCACACCGCCATCTGCATGCTGCTCTCCAAGCTCCTGCCTACTCAGCTCACATGAGACGCGACTTGCTTGGTGTTGCCTTTGGGGACCTCGGACAGCCACATCATTGCCATCAGCGCCAATACCAAAGAGGGCATTCAGCAGCTGCAGGATGACGGCCTAAGATGGCTCGCAGGCTCTTTATGCAAATAGGGTTTCGGATAAAAAAGCAGCCACACTTTTGTTTGTTTGCAGGGTAATCAGTGCATAGAAGCACTTGTAGCAACGCGTGCTGACTGCCGAGCAGAAGTACCGTTTGCCCGACCCCCAGCCACACGAGGAAAGTGTCAGCTCCGAAATCGCAATCATGTTAAAAACACCTGTACCAACACGCTGCACCACTCTCAGCGGCCAGACGATACTCCAGCTCCGCCACCGCCCGCAACATCCCGCTGTTGTCGCCGCCATCCCCTCCGTCCAGCAAAAATGCCACCAGCCAAGGAAGAAGAAAACGCCTCAAACAGACAAGCATTGGATACCAGTCACACGACTTGAAAAGAAAAACAATCGTAGAGTTGGAGACGTGAGAGACTAAGAATTCAATTGTTGACACACGCCAGGTGCATCTTGACTCGCGGGCCTGGCCCAGCCCATGGTCGTAAGTATGCCCCGTCCAGCCTGCCAAACCGACGGGCTAGACGTGGCACCAACAGCAGCAAAAAGTTCTGCGTTGAGTGACCGGAAGCAGCTGAAAGAAAAGCAGCTGTCAAAGGAAGATTGAAAACAGTGTGTACCTACAACACTGCACTTAAAGGGTATCAATGCGCAGGTGGTGCTCCGACGTTTGATGCGTCGACTGCGACGAGCCCAAAGACTCATCGGCATCCACCACATGGTCTACAAGCTCCACGTCAGTCGATATCTTGATAGCTGTTGCCTGGGTCGCGGTTGCTTCGCTTGATTCCGTTTGTTGCTACGTCAATACACACACCCACGCATTTCGAAATGAACGGCAAGCGCCTGCAATTGGAAAAAAAAAAAAACAAAAAAAAAAAAAAAAACAAAAACAAAAAAACAAGCATGCACAACAGCTGGGAGTTGACTTACGCTCTTGCCAAAGTTACGGTTTGTGAACCACAGCATGCCGAAATGGACGAAGCGCCAGAAGATGACCCATGCAAGTACAACTACCCAGTCCTCCCAGATCTTGACATCGTCATCATACTTGAAGAGCTGTGTCAGGGGAACAAGGATCAAAAGACATGAGAAAAGATATGTCTGGCAGTCATGAATAGATGCGAGCATAATTCAACCCGAGCCCACCCATCGCGAGAGAACAACTGACCGCAATCAACAAGTCGTTGCCGTCGATCGAGGTCATGCCGTTGATGGGCTCAATGAGCTCATAAGTTTGACCACGCATAGCATTGGTCATGGAACCACGTGTGCCCCAAGCTGCCAGAGGACATTGCAAACGCCAGACGATGAATCATGAGTCGTTGTAAAGCATCGCGCGCTTGTGGCACGATCCTTGTCGACCTGAGCGAGGTAGACTTGTGCGTTTGAGCATTGTGCGATACATACTGCTGGGAATGATGTAGGGCACCCAAGATACGGCCGGCGGCATGTCATCGACAGGCAGGAAGAACCCTATGTAACACACACACAATAGGTCAGGCGACGGAGGCGCGTCGGCAGGGTTCGTCGACAGGGTTGCAGAGTACGCAAGCCATTCAGGATCGATGTACACCACCCCAATTGACCGTACCAGGGAAGAGGAAGAGCAGGCCCAGCACGATCATGGAGAACGACTGCAGCGAGGCGACAAGACGCATCGGATTACAAACGAGTGGACAAGTGAGGCAGACGCAAGTGCACGGTGGCACGGCCAGATGTCGCGGGCGCACACGTACGACAGAGAGCATGGGGTTTTTGAGACCTTCCACGACCGTCAGGACAATGGCCTCCATCAGCAGCATCAGCGCAAAGGCGGTCAAGACGGCGTAGGCAAAGGCATCAAAGGCATCGTTGAAGCCGGCCATAAAGTGGAGCGGAATTTCGTAGGCCAGGGCGCAGATAAAAGTGTAGGGCATGGAAGCGATGAACTGGGACACGCAAAAGCTGCTGAGGCGGTAGGCGCCATTGACATAATCTTGCTGGACGACGCGGCGATCGACGCAAAAGGTCGGGGCACCGGCCACCACAGAGAACAACACGACCCAAATGTTCATAAAGAGAGCACCCGTGACCTCGGTCAGGCGAGACACGCTATGTGCTGTACGCCAGTACAGACTGCCAATGATCAGACCCTGAGCATCGTGGTAGGAAGGAAGCCACAAGCGAGGACATGGGTCGACACGACACAAGCGTGAGGTTTGCCCAGTGCAAGCTCTTGAAAAAGAGACGAAAAAAAAAAAAAAAACATAAAATTAAAAATAATATTCAAGCTTGAATCACCCCCCCCCCCCCCCCCCCCCCCC